CCTTGCTAATCTTCTCCTTATGACATGCTGCTGTAGTTGAATTCTCTATTTCAGTGTATTCTAGTGGCCAAATCCTATCATTTGAGATGCTGTATTCAAGTTGTCTTTGTTCAATGGGTTTGATCCTCACTTACAGTTCACTGTTGAACTTAGGACCCCACCACTAATAGTATTGCCTTCTTAGACATACGTGTCATCAGAATGGGAGACAATACCATAACTACAAGTCGGTATAGGAAACCAACGGACTCTAATAGGTTTTTCAACTACCACTCTTATCATCCTTTCAAATAGAAACTAAACCTTATCAAAGCTTTAAGCTGTAGGTTGACACATCCGGTTAATCGGAGGGAATCCCTTCTACTGCTCAGAAACATATTGATTGAGAATTCCTACGCTTATTAATAGATACCAATATTCGCAGAGTTATGGATCCTCTTTAAATGACATACCCAATGGTAACCAACTCAGAGCAATATCAAACAATACTATCAATAACTCTGTTTCTGCCTACTACAGTACTTGGGATACCAACTACCCATTACTCCTCTTTACCACATTTTCCTCATGAGCCTGAGCCAAACTTATCATGTATTAATATTGCAGAATTAGGCATTATCAGTTTTTTACTTTAATATTGTCTCCTACGGTGTGTGTTTGTATACATTTTAACTTTTAAATAAATTTAAATAAATTTTTTTCTTACTTAAATCGTTATTACTATTCAACTAATATTTTATATATTCATTTATCAATGCTGAAAAATGTATGGTGAAATAGTTTAAAAATTTTTAAATTAATTTGATTCATGTAATTCTCATTAATTACTCAGTTCTATAATATTATGAACCTTGGACTGTGGAAGTTGAATTAAATTTATACCTGTGGCTGGTTAACCAGCTACAACGTAGTCACTTGTGTTATGATATGGAAAGATCAGCCTCAGTTCGTCTTTCTTCGAGCCATTCCTTGAAAGTAAAATGGTGTTTGGAAGATACATTAACTATTGGTCATATCATAAGCATAGCACAAAAATTAATTTTATAAAACAAATGCAATGACTGCAGATCAATCTCTCTATTATAAAAACCTAAAAATCCTTTATCAGCTCTTTCTAGGCAATTCACACCCAAACACATTACTTACTAAAATACTATTCGGTATAACAAATGATACATTATCTGTAACACAAACCATCCCTAACCACACACCACAAAAAACTACACATACAATAGACACAACCACTAACACCAAATTAACTCCACTTAAATAGTTTAGATTACCGTTCATACAAGACTTAACACCAAAACTTACACGAATTTTTAAATCAGCATAAAAATCGCTAATTACACAGTGTTAATCATTAATTCCGTATTCACTAAAGTAAAAGACAAAACATCTATGGACCAATTATCCAATATAGTCTATCGTATTCGTTGCGGAAGTTGCAACAGATAATATATTGGCCAAACCAACAGACACCTAAAAAGTCGTATCACTTCCCACAAGAGTGACAGCAGATTATATCCTGATAGATTTTCCCTTGCAAAACATGTACATGATGAACACCATAATAATGAACTACAGTCAAATAAAGATTCTTGCAATGAAAAATAATCTCAACAAAAGACTCTTTCTTGAGATGGCATTTATCACTCAAATGAATAAATAAGAAATCAGAGGTTAGCATCTGAGTGAGATTTATGCTTATTTATTACACATTGAAAAGCAAACATTGTAAATAGACACACATAACTAAATTAATATAACACAAAATGTAATTTCAAAAAATTTTCAACTAAAACACACCTTTTTAGGTGTACAGTGTCAAACTTGTTTTTCTACCAAGATAAAAAATGGGTTTATGTCATTCTACTGAAGAATCCATACCAACTTCTTTTACCCAGCTTGGTTGTAGTAATGCTGCTGTTATTGTGGAAATGATTCCACAAGATGTAGACATGCAATTTCAGACATCTGACAATATTGCGATGGAGTCGGCGATGGATCAGTCAAGAAACGCTATAGAAGGTGCAATAGTTAGCCTAGATACTGATGTCGTTTTTGCAAATCAGGTAGATATCCTTAAATTATCTAAATTGTTGCAATCTTAATACCTACTGGTTTAATAATAAAGTAATAATAAGTTTCATTACTTTGCTGTTGCATATTTTGTACCTGTGTATAACGCATAGGTGGTTATAGTTTTAAAATGTAGATTTATTTCTTTTAGATTGTTCCGCCGTTAAATTCAATGAATTTGCTTGAAGAACAACTAAATGAAACGCATGAAAGCAATCAATAAAATGAAAAAGCAAAAAAGCATGAACTTGCTTTAAACGTAAGTGCTTCTAACATACTAGGTAATTTGTGTCTTTAACATTCTTAAAAGCTTAAAAAACTTTTTTTCCACTTACATCATTTTCTTAATTTTTTTAGGAATCAAAAAGTAGCGAGGACCTTTCTGATGATCAAGATCGTAATTATAGTCCAGATGAAAACGATAGGGAAGAGGATGAGCCCATTTTAACAGTTTCAATGGAAAAAAATAAATCAAGGAAACGAGTGAAACGTATTAAAGATTGGAAGCAACTTAAAAGACAGGAACAAAAACGTAAAGGCGAGGAATATAAAACTAAAAAGGGGAAGATAAAGGATGCTAAAGTATTACAGTCAGCATGCCACTGTAGGCGAAAGTGTTATGATAAGATTGATAATGCTCAAAGACTGAATATATTTTCGCGATTTTACCAATTAAGTAGACACGCTCAAGATCAAGTGTTAGCGGAAAGTGTGGAAGAAAAACTCAAAGATAGACAAAGGCTGACACCAGAGAAAATGGAAAGCAGGAGATCTTTTTCTAGGAATTATTTTTTAAAAGATTCTACTGGAAATCGAACAGAAGTTTGTCAAAGCATGTACTTAAGGACTTTTCTTTGACATTTCTATTAAAAAGATAAAAGTGATTGTAGAGAAAAAAAAAGGCCCATGGTGGGGTATGTCCACCAGAATGGACGAGGAATGCATAAAAACCAACCCAAAATTGCTGAACAGTTAAAAGTTATTGTTCGCGATCACATAAGAAGTTTTCCAGCATATACCAGCCACTATTCCCGTAAAAAATCTTCTAGGCATTATGTTAGCCCCGATTTGAATATTTCAAGTATGTATAGACTGTATACCGAAAACTGTAAAGAAATGAAAGTTGCTTCGCTCAAAGAATTTCAGTACAGAAAAATATTTAATGAAGAGTTTAATCTTGCTTTTCATCATCGTGCAAATGATACATGTGCGAAGTGTGATCAATTAAATCTTAGTCTTAAGTCATATTATAATAAAACAAACCTTACAGAAAATGAGGTATACGAAAAGATTACAATAGAACAAGATTTAAATAACCATTTGGAAATGGCTAAAAGCTGCTATGAAAATAAAAAGAAAGATAAAGATAGAAGTAAATTAGATCCAAGTTATGTGACTGTTTCATTTGATTTAGAAAAATGTTTGCCGACCCCCTTCTTGAGAAATGGTGTATCGTTTTACAAAAGACAACTGTGGGTCTACAATCTAACTCTTTATAAAACAGATCATAGTGGCAATGAAGGGATTTGTTTTTTATGGAATGAAACTATAGCTGGACGTGGAGGTTAGGAAATAGCTTCTTGTTTAAGAAAGTTTATTTTGGATGTTTCTTCAAAAGACATTAAAACTCTTAATTTCTACAGAGATTCATGTTCTGGACAGAATAGAAACATTTATGTTGCTACAACGTTCTGCAGGATTTTAAAGGAGCAGACACAAACTCGTCTTGTAGAAGACACAACAAATTAAGTTTCAAAAAAATCTTCCATATCAGTTTTTGTATAAAACTGACTTTAATGATGGTGATTTTAAAAAAGTGGATTTCAGAAGGGGATCCATAACAAAATTGAGATAGTCTTACATTTTCTGAGCAAGTAAAACCTTTAAACCTTGAACAACTACCAATAGCCAACCAAAAATATGATGATTTGATGCAGTTGTTGTCATACATTAGTGATCATAACAAAACATATTTTAAACAGTTAAAACGTTCCTCAACATTAGATGCCGATAACTATCCTGCTTTAGGGGAAGAAATACAGTAAAACTACAAATATTTTGTTTTTACAGGAAGCTATGTTATTTTTTAAATACTTAAGTAAACGAATTTTGCAAAATACATATTTTATTCCAGGGCCAATCTCCAAGAAAATTACCGTTTTTTAATTTTTAAAGGGTCAAACTCCTTCAAAATTCAAACTTACCAAACATTTGAAAACAAAATATGTAGTAATAATAAATACTACTTTTATTTTACTTGAAATTTCGTTATTAGTAATAAAAAATCTATTTTACCTAAATTTAAAATTGTCATTTTACTTTTCCTCAAACTTAAATTGCTTATTACTCAAAACAACGAAAATGGAGTTTGGCCCTTTTAATACTCAGATCCAGATATATCAAAAATCAAACAAAATAGACAAAAATCTTTGTAAATATTTTGTCCTATTCCATATAATCAACAGACAAATAATATAATTCCATTCAAGTTAATGTTGGGAATATATTTCAAATAAATTTTTTTTTATGAGAGTTGTTTTTAAAAGGCATGGGAACCTTATGTATTTCAATAAGTTTTACACAAATCCACAACAAATGCAGCATTCTTATTGGGCACATATTTCTAGGAACCCTCTTGCAAATTCTCTCAATAAGGAAACCGTCAACAGTTATACTAAAAAAAGCTATTTTTTGAAAGCTCCACATTTACAAACAGTTTATGTTATTAAAATGGGCAATAATGGATGTGATAAGATAAAAATACTTCCTCAGTATCTCCTCAGCTATTTATTCTCTTTCTCATGATGTATAAACACATGTTCAAAGGTCACCTGCTAAGTTAGGAAAAATACCATACTGAGATGAAGGTGAAGACAATTTCAGGATGATCAAGCTTTGACTTTGAAGATAAAACTCGATCAAAATTGTTCTTCCAGAAAGGCTAAGATTTGATGAGATGTGGATTTTCCCAAAGATTCCACTAATTTACATGAATTCTGACTCAAGAATAAAAATTTATTACTACCTGGATTATCTTTTTCTAGATTCAGATATGGTAAAATTAACTTTGTGCTTAACTTTACCCAAGAAGCAAATCTACCTTATTGTAGTGTCATTAAAAATTTAATTGTTCAATTTAAAATATAGTATGGATCCACCCATTACAAAGGTGCGTATTGACTTGTTAAATAAATAGTAGCTTAAAAGCAATTTTACTCCATAATTGTGGTTTCACTGATTCTATTCTTGTTGAACATTGTGTTCTTGAAAAATATCTATGAAAACCTGGCAATGATTCTTCAAAAACTTAAATATTAAGGACAAAATTAGGCAACAAGCTGGTTAAATCAAATTCCATTGTTTTTTATGTCTATGGGGCAGTCAGAAAAAAATTTCAGCCAAAATGATATATGAATGGAACATGAACAATGAGCCAGTTGGATAAAGTACAACCAGTTTATAACAATAGTTACTAAAAAAACTATAGGCACAAACTGATACCCAATTTGTGAAGAAAAGTGAGATCCTAGGGCAAAATGATTTAGATTCAGCCCATCACAAACCATATAAATCAGTTAAAAGCTAATTTAAAATTGGCTGCTACAAATGACAAGAAGAAATGTAAAATGTAATGTTTATTACAATCAATTGCGGATGAATGCCTTATAAATACAATATTTAAGGTACATAGATTATATTAAAGATTTACCATCTCCCTACATATTTTTATTACTTCACTTACCTGAGTTATATTCATCTGGTTCATTCTTCAAGTCTCCAAGATCGAGGGATGTAGTTAGCTGATTTTCTGTATTATATACTTGGTCATCAAGAGCATGTTCTTTCTTAATTTCAGCTTTTATTTCTATTTCTAATAAATACAGATTAGAATACATCAAATTGTTTAATGAGATTTATTAGTTATCTTACCTGGTTTGTCATCTGGTTTATCATTACAAGCTTCAATATTATTTGTTGATCTGTGTAACTGACTCTCTACATATCTTTCATTGCATTCAAAAACACTTTCCTTAACTTCAACTTTAAATTCCATAGCTAACAAATAATCAAATAAAATAAAAATATTGGAAACATACAAAAATATACTTAACGTTAACCCAGTGATATTCTCCATTCGCTTAGCTCGGGCATATTTTGACAGAATCATTGTAGGAAACCTACAACATAAAAATTCCTACTTCTCAGTATTAAATAGCTCAAATATACTACTATTGCAGACTTCTTCCTTTAAAAAAAGAAGAATTATTCCAAAAGTGGAAGTGTATACTAAACCCACAAAATTTTCCCTGTATATTTAAAATATAATATTTGAGTTGTTACAATTGAACATATTGTAGTAAATATTTGTATTATTCACGTTGTTTATTTTAGCTAATATGTTTTATTGTTCCATTATTTTTGTTTAATTCCTTGTTAGTTCTATTTTGAATGTTATTATTAGAGAGAGTCAAAGTTTTCCATTTGTTCTATCAGATAATGCGTTGGTAAGTTTTTCTTAAATAAATATAAATATGATAAATGTTCTTTAAAAGTTAATATTTATAGATGAGTAAGGATGCTGTTAAATTAAGAAGTAATCAAACTGCAAAAAGATTTATTCAAAACACCAACCATTTTTGTTTAATTATTTGCCCATTCGGCGTAGGTGGATCATTAAAATATATTTATAAAATTATGTAAATATGCTCTTAATAACAAAAACATTTCAGTTAACATCCAGTTCAGTTTGACATGGCGTCAAAAATTAAATAAAAGTTACAGTAATTTAGTTTATATCGTTAAATTGCTCCAAATGTAGGCAACCAACTTAAACTTTTTGTTAGGATTTAGCTGGAGTTTCTTGAGAATATTTTTAATAAACGTTTATTATTTTCCAGTTAATTTATTATTTTTTAAAAGTGATAATGATAATGCTGAATAAGCAATATTTCAAATGATATTTAATCACAAAACGTACTTAATATTGTGTTATTGTAAAATCCTCATAATAGAGTACGTTAAATAAAAAAGGTAAAATCCCGGATCGTCCAAAACTAGTTTCTAATAGGAATAATAGAAGATTATGATTTGTTTTAATTATATTTTTGATGATATTGGATTATGTTTTTGATGAATGATATTTTTGAATTATAATATGAATATTATGATATTTTTTATCTAACCTACTTTATAACACAATATTAAGTACGTCCTGTGATTAGATATCATTTGAAATATTGCTTATTCAGCATTATTATCATCACTTTAAAAAATAATAATAAATTAACTGGAAAATATTAAACGTTTATTAAATATATTCTAAAGAAACTCCAACTAAATGCTAAAAAAAAATTTTAAGTTGGTTGCCTACATTTGGCGCAATCTAACGATAATTAAACTAAATTACCATAACTTTTTTTATAAAACATATTTTTTATATATAATAGAAACTTACATTCTATATACATGCTATAAATTTATAATTCATAGTATAAGTTTGCAAATAAGGTCGACGAAATACTCTTATGAAATGCGCTATGAGCACGTGTACTTGGTTGTATAATAATTTCCAGCCACTTCTAGTCTGTCAAAAAGTAACTAACTTCGTAAAAACATAATTACTAAAATCACTAGACAGTTCGGACTGGCATTAGCGAACCGAGTATATCTGCGTTAACCAAAGAATACAGACAGACACACGACACGCCGTTTACTTCAAACTTCAACGAAAGTTCAAGCTGAAAATAGCCACAAATGTCAACCATAGAACAAAATATTTCGGTTTGGCCACCTTTGGCCGTGTTGGAAGTTGGAATGTTTTTAAAATGCATATACTTCATCTATACCATTTTTCAAAGTAAAACACTTGCACGTCACGATTTATAAAAAGTGACGTCACTTGTATTTAAAATTTCCAGAACATCAACCTTATAGTTCAAATTTTCCTAACACAGGTAATAATACGAAACCCATACGGAATTGCTCGATCTTTCATAGGCGTCAACATAGTGTAATAATCAGAAAAATATAATCATAATTATATTGGAAAATTTTGGTAATTATATTGATTAATAACCATAAACATTTATTATTATTAATAATATAAATTTTTGAAATAACTCTTGAAGTCTAATATTCCAAAATAATATTTTTAATTAAATTATTGACATTTACGCAATGATACGGAAATAATCAAATAGTATTGACAGTGTTCCTAACACTGTAATAATAAGAACCCATCGAATCTCGATTTCATAGCGTCAACATAGTAAAATCAGAAAAATTAACATATATATGAAATTTTGAATTATATGTAAATAACATAAACATTATTATATTAAAATATAAATTTATGAAATAACTCTTGAAGTCTAATATTCCACAAATAATATTTTTAATTAAATATATTAGACAATTGTACGCAACTGATACGGAAATATATCAATAGTATTGACATTGAGCGGATGGTAAAAGTGTATTAAGTGTTGCCGCTTTCTAGAGTACAAATTTTGTTTATGTTTTGACGTCTTACACAATTTTATCATAATATAATATATAATAATAAATTGTATTTATAAATGCATTTTAAATTTAGATTAATAGCTTTAAAAACTAATTATTATTGTGTATTGTGAGTGTGATATGCCAAAACAAATAAATAGTCTGTAGAAAGCTGATAAGCTTTCATATAAGATTATTATTTTGAACAAGAAATAATGGCGGGACGTTTTTGTTATTAAAGCCCTAAAAGAGGTAAGTTTAAAATTTAGAATATATAATCTTGTATTAAAATGGTTTCTTATGTATTTTAATGTGTTGCAGTAGTCTTAAAACTAAGTGTATTTACTGTTAATATATAATAGTTTGACAAATAGTTGACATTTTAAAAATTCCTTGCTTACTAACTATTCTGATGTTTTGGCAACGCTGTGGGGTTCTGAAGACGTAAATCTTGAATGACGTGCAAGCTTTTTTATCTGAAAAATGCTATAATTTACATTTCGAGGCACGTCAACGGCGTCATAGCCCGTGACGTCACATGATACCAACATGAAATATATAGGCGGTAGGTTTGTTCTTTTGTAGAATCACTTTGCCGAGTACACTGGCATTACAGTCACTAGACATATTTTATTACATACGCGTAGAAATAATGGTTGAGTTTACCGAAAGTACAAGCTGATTATAGCCGCAAATGTCATACATGGAACAAAAAATTTGGGTATAGCAGTGTTGGCATGTTTTTATAATGTAGTTGCTGTATACTTCAAATATAAAAAGATAAAGCTTCAGAAAAGGACATTTTGTCTATATTATGTTATGAATTCTGCAATTTTTGATTTATATAAAACAACAATAAGTAAATATTTGTTTCCTTGGCGATTAATTGCAGTTAATTATTAGAAATTTTTTTAGCAATTAACCTTTGATAGATTAGGGGATAGATTTGGCAAATATCAAATCAGCAGTTGCCAGATTACAAAAGATGTTTGCAATTAATCTCGAAAGAGACAAATATCTACTCGTTATTGCTTCATATAAATTAAAACTTGCAGAATTCATAAAATAATATATTCAAAATGTACTTTTTAAAAGCTTTATCTCTTTATATTTGAAGCATACAACATATGCATTATAAAAACATGCCAACACTGCCAAGCCGAAATATTTTTGACATTTGCGGCTATCATCTTCATCATCATTTGCGCCATCCCGATTTGCGTCGATTTTGCGCCATCTGAATCCAATTTGTAGTCACTCCTTTTATGTCATCTGTCCATCTCGTTGGGGATCGACCTCTATTTCTGTAAGCTTGTATTCGGGGTCTCCATTCCAAAATTCTTTTTGTCCACCGGTCATCAACTGATCTTGTTACATGACCTGCCCAGTTTCACTTTAGTGTTGTTATCCTTTCAATAACGTCTGCTACTCCTGATATTTTGCATATAGTAGCATTGGGTATTCTATCACGTAGAGAAATCCCTAACATAATTTTCTTCATTGCTCTTTTCGCAACTTGTAGTTTACTCACTGTTGTTCTTGTGTGCGTTAGGGTTTCTGCGCCGTAAGTCATCACTGGCAAAATACATTGATTAAATACTTTTCTTTTCAGACACATTGGAATCTTAGACCTAAAAATATCCTTCATCCTTCCAAATGCAGCCCAAGCGAGGTTTATTCTTCTTTTCAGCTCGATTGTTTGGTTGTCTCGACTTATTCTGATCTCATGGCCTAAGTATTTATAGGAGTCAACTGGCTCAATATCTTTGTCTTCTACTGAGATGTTTTTGTTGTGGACTAAATTTGTCATAAATTGTGTTTTTGAAAAATTTATTTTAAGACCAACTCTTTTTGTGGCAGTATGGAGTTCTTGGAGCATTATCTGTGCCTGATCAAAGCTGTCTGCAATAAGAACGATATCATCTGCAAATTTAAGGTTATTTAAAAATTTTCCTTCTACATTGACGCCCTTTTCGTTCCAATCTATTGTTTTACAAGCGTATTCTAGCAAAGTTTTAAATAATTTAGGAGACATGTTGTCTCCTTGCCGAACGCCTTTTTCAATACGAAAAGTCCCAGTATCTTGATTAAGTCTTACACAGGCTGTAGCATGTTGATAGATGTATCTGATGAGAGATATGTATCGGTGATCTATTCTACATTGTGTTAGAGCTTGGAGCATTTCACTTTGATTGACCGTATCAAATGCTTTTTCAAAGTCGACAAAGACAAGTATCAGGGGTCTATTATATTCAATGGTTTTTTCAATCAACGACTTAATGGTTTGCAAATGATCATTTGTCCCGTATCCAGCTCTAAATCCTGCTTGCTCGCAAGGTTGATAGAAGTCTAGTTTTGATGTCAACCTATTAGTTATTATCTTCATAAACAACTTATAAACGTGAGATAACAAGCTAATAGGTCTATAGTTCTTCAGCTCTATTATATCTCCCTTTTTGTGCATGACTACTATAACGGCTTTATTCCACTGAGATGGTGTAACCTCGTTTGAAAGGCATAAGTTATATAATTGCGTCAATGCTTTCAATAATGTCTTTCCTCCTGCTTTAACTGCCTCAATAACGATTTGATCATCACCAGCTGCTTTATTGTTTTTCATTCTATTTAATGACTTTAAGTCTTCTTCGATTGTTATTTCTGGGATATCCTCTGAACCCACATTCTGGACTTTTCTTAACTTGGTGCCGTCTTTCTTCCCCCTTTCTCTATATAATTCTGTGTAAAATTCTTCAACTACCTTAATTATCTTATCTTTATCTGTTACCACTTTTCCATTTCGATCTGCAAGCTTAACAATGTTCTTCTTACCTAGAGCTTGACATCTCTTCAGCAGCTTTAAACTTTTATTTTTCTCGACAACCGTTGTAATCTTTTTTGTGTTATATTGTCTTACGTCCTTTCTCACTGCTTTATTAATATCTTTATTAAGTTGTTGTAGTACGCGTGCATTCGTATCGTTTTTGTTCTTAAGTTCTCTTCGTGCCTCCATAAGTCTTTTTGTTTCTTGACTGAGCTTTTCCTCCTTATCTCTCCTAGAATTTGTATTGCACTTTTTCTCTGCGTTCTTAATAGCTTTTATTAAGTTATCATTTAAGGTTTTGATATCCATAACGTCTATATTTGCTGTCTCTAGACATCTCAGAATTTCCTCTTCGAAGGTGTGGCGGGTGACGCGATCCTCCGAAGAAAAGTCGGTGCATGTGATATGTATTTTCTCGCTTACATCCATCGCACTGGAGTTTGTGGTCAGCTGTCGCTATGGTTTTCAAGCAGTTCGAACAAAAAGAGGTGGATGGCATGGTCCGATTTTTCGTGTATTTAATTAGTATTTGGTTTTATATTAATAAATTGTAGAATGGTACTCACAGCAATTATTCGCTGTAACTGCACTTTTTACCCACAATTTTTACAAAAACTAGTGACTATTGATATATAGAACAATAATCCAGCCAGTAACATTTGATTTTAATCCTACTAAGGTTTTACCTGTGACCATTCAGCTGCTTCAAAATATTTGCGTATGCTGTTGAATGGCGTTAATGAATTAGAATCCAAGATTATGTTAGGTTAGGTTATACTCAAGGATTTTATTTTAGAAGACTTGTATGTGTGAAGCAATATGTAGAAAATTAATTACAAATCGAATCCTAGACAGTTGCATGGGATTATCCCCTGTTTTTATCGTATTATCATCTGCGAGACCTTTAATTCATATCCCCTGGATGCTAATCCCATTGATTAGGTCACTACTACTAGATCAGAATTTTTAATCCCTTGACTTCATTCGTCCATCAAATGCACCTCAGATATGAAATTTGCATCTTAATACCAGTTATTGGTGGTGGTTATCTGGATTTTAGTCGCAGTATCCTTGACCTAGTTTATTAATATCTGTATTTATTGACAGTGTTTTTTGCTAATATTTTTCGACTATAATTTAAAGTGCGTCTAGTCGTTTTGTTTAAGATGCATACGGAGCGAAATATTGTTTAGAACTAGCAACCTTTGTGTTGTCCTAGATTTTATAGTCGTCTTTCCCATTATTTGTTGGTAAATCCAGGACATTTGTAACTGTTTAGCTAGACAAGTGTGCAATTCTGGGCTCTGCATATTTTTTGCGATTTTTTTTGGCTGTAGTATTTTTTAAGTATTTTTTGAATGTTAGGGTGCACTCTAGTTTACTTGAATCTTTCCTCTAGTGATTATTTGTGCGATACAATATTTTCATAATACTATTTTTTTATAATATGAGCTAGAAGACTACTTTTTCTAATTTTAATGGGTGTAAGAAATTTCCTGGATGTACCTGCTTGCCTGAAAACTTTCTCATTATCTACATATGCAGTTCAGGATATTTTTAACAGTCGAGTCTGAGGCAGACGTCCAAATCTGCCACCAAGACAGTATCGTTGGCATAGCAAATGTTGTTTATTGTTTCTCCATTTACACCCTCTGTTAATTCGTACTGGATATCCTTTTATATATTAGTTTCTTCCGGCACAGCGCCAGCTATTTTGAAGTTCTTGTTTCCAATATTATTGGATTATTGTGATGATATTAGATATTAGATTATTGTGATGTCTTATTTGTCTATTCCATTTTCATTTAAAAGCTTTTTTAATATGTTACGGCTACATGGTCAAAATCTTTTTTGAAGTTCACAAAATAAAGAAGCAAATATTTTAGCTTGTTTCGATATTTTTGGGCGAGAACTTTTGGATTTGCGTGTAACCAAATATGTTCTAAACTGACCGGCTCCCTTACTACTTTATACTCCAATTTGTTACCAAATCTACCATAGACCAAGTCTATAGGTCTATACGATCTATATACTTCACCTTAACCTCCACCAAGATTTATGAACTTAAATACTTTATATTATATACGATATTTATTTTCAAAACTTATAGACTACTATACAAAATTTGTTTAAAATAACAAAAACAATTTTGTGTTAAGAATTTACAAAATCGGATAAGAATTGTCATCGTTAATATGGCATATATTTTTTCCTCTTGCTATCTTCATATATCCATCTTCACCCCAGTCTGCCCCCCAAGAATTTTTGATCAAAATGTACTCATCAGTGTAACCTGTAGCCAGTATGGCGTGATTGATATGGTCTCCACAGTATTTGTCATCATAAATGCCTCCTGCATAATATGGCCAATCAGATGCATCAGCGGAGACAGCGATTAGACCCACGGTAGCTAAAAATTAAAATAAGGAAAAATTTTTAATTTTTAACCAAAAAAATTTTTAATTTTAAATTATGACTCTCGGGAGAGCCTGTAATCCCTAGAGAGCGTGTCCCCAAGGTGGCAGATAGGGGAAAGCCTCCCAGATATGGGTGGTAGGAGGGAAATGAAATGCCTCCCGCGGACTACACAGGCAAATATCAACGATAACGTCTGACCCAGAGTGGGCGGTTATCAACAGCGATTGACCCAGAGTGGGCGGCTGAACAAATAGGCCCTCCAAAAGGGGGTGTTGGTGCCAGGATTTAGCAACCTGACACAAGTAAAAACTAAAATGGCAAACTAATAATTGGCAGTATGAAAAACCACGTTAAGATTCCCCGGGTGGAAATCCACACCTCCATAGGAGGGAGTCCCAAGCCAGTCTTAACACTCAACCAAAAGAAGAAACGAAAATCTCAAAAAACTAGACACTAATTTGTAAACGAAAGACTTAGAAGTAATCTATGAATTAATAAAGATGAAATTAGACCTAATGGTGACCAGCGAAACCAAGAAAAAAGGAAATGGCACGAAAGACATAAATGGGGTACTGCACTTTTGGAGCGGAGTCAAAAAAGAGCAGAGAGCAAAAGCAGGAGTAGCCATTTTAATCAAAAATAAATGGAGAAAATCCATAAAGTCTTGGGAACCCATCAAAAAATTATGACAAACTTAATAGAAATAATAGAATTAATAAAGCAGTAAAACATTAACAAAGAAAAGTAAAATTAAAAAATAATAATAAGTCACCGAGTTTTGAGGCAATTAGTACTTGAATAGCAATAGCATTACCAACATGCTAGTGTGCTAGCACACCAAATTTGTATAAAGGAAACTGCAAAAGAAAAAATATTGAAACTAGGGTAAGGTGACGCAAGTGCGTACCCGAGGTAAATGCGTTTGGACTAAATAAAAATATTTGTAACGTGAAGTTGAATATGAAACCGATTTCAAATTTAGCGCCAAGTATTAAACGAAACAGCTACACCATAGCTACACACATGAGTGGCAACGTCGTTGAATTCACGACATAGTAGCACGTGTTTGTTGGTAGTTACATTTGAGGTTATACAATGAGCAGATAAGTGTTGTTTTTGTCTTGTTAATCTCGTACCGCTTACTAGATTTGAATTTTTATTGAATACTTTCGGTAAGTATTGCAGAAATTTATTATCTCGAAGGGAAATTTATCGCACGGAGCAAGTGCATTTTGTATGTAGGGGCAAATGCATCTTTACCTTAACGCACTTGCCCTGGCATAAAATCTGAATACAATTTTTTAATTCTTAGGTAGAGATGGTCCGAAATCACGTCCAAAAGACGGAGAGAGGTTCGCACTATTCATCAGGAACCCTTCTGTATCTGAGTAGGGAGGGCGAGTTAAGTTTCACAGCACTTAGGCCACAATTGACCCATTGTGCATCCTCCCAGGGAGCTGTCACCCTTAGCTCATTGTCCATCCTGCCATTTCTAGGAAGGTGGACAAGTCACCAGGAGACATCTCACTTATGTGGGCAGGTGTAGGCCAGGACTCGCCGAACGCGTACTCTCGTATTAACGATAACTCTGGGCATTCACATAGGACATGCTCTACAGTTTCGTCTTCTCGTTCACACTTCCTACATAGAGGTGTGTCTACTAGCCCCAGTGTGTGGAGGTGTTTGCTTAGTTGACAATGACCAGTTAAAAAACCAACTGCCAAACGTAGATTTTTCCTGGTCATTCCCAAGTACTTCTTTGATGTTGACTCATCAAGGTTACTTAGTGTTAACTTGGCAAGTCTACATCCTTTCCCTTCTTCCCATCTTTTTACGGTTTTCGTATGGGAGTGACATTTGACAATTTCCGCGATTGTTGTAGTTGACCAACCAAAAAGATCCCCAGGTCCTAGGAGTCTTAGGCCTGCCGCCTTCCTAGATAATTGGTCAGCAATGCGGTTGCCTTTATTCCTATTGTGTCCTTTAACCCACTTCAGGATGATGGTATTACCATCCGAAGCTTGAGTTAATGACTCGTGACACTCCATTACTAAACCTGATGTGACACGTGGTCTATTCAAGGTTAGTAGCGCTTGTCTGCTATCTGTGCAGATCATTATAGTTTTCCCTGCTATACCTTTTTGGGTTATCTCTTTTGCGGCTATGGAAATACCAGTTAGTTCTGTCTGAAGTACACTGGCATTTTTGCCCATACCCCACTTTATTCTTAGGTTCAGTGATCTGGAGTATATCCCGCATCCTGAGCCTTCTTTCATTTTGGAGCCATCGGTGTATATGCAATAGGCATTTGCCACGTTTGTCTCCGTACACTGTCTTGTTTCAATTTTGTAGGGTTTGTTAAAGACGAACTTTGGTTCAATTGAGTCGCAGCCTGCCTGTAGTACTGGTAACGCATCCAGCTCTCCCCGCCAGAAACGAGTTCTCAATTGTCCCATTCCTACATCAAGGTTTGCACCAGCTGAGCGCAGTCGCATCATTGTCACTAAAGCCACCTCTTTGACATATATGTCTAGAGGCGTGATGCCAATGATCAACTCCATTGCAGCAGTTGGTGTTGTTTTCATGGCACCTGTTATATTTATGCAAGCCATCCGCTGAATATGGTTTAGTTTGTTAATCGCTGTTGCCTGTAGCGCTTTTGGTACCCAGGCAATAGCTCCGTAAGTTAGCATTGGCCTAATGACAGCGGTGTAGACCCAGGCGATCACCCTGGGCGTGAGGCCCCAGGTGCGTCCAACCGTTCGTCGACACTGTTCATAGGCAATATATGCTCTTTTAGCTCTACCATCTAGGTGTGAGTTCCATGTTAATTTCTTGTCGAGGTAATACCAAGGTACTTCACCTCGTCAGAAAAATTTAGACTGTAGTTTAGAATCCTTGGGGGTATTAAGCCCGTGATTCTTCTTTTCCTGGTAAAAAGGACCATCTCTGTTTTCTTAGGATTTATAGATAGTGAGTGTTCCTTGCACCATGTTTCTATTAGTCGAAGAGCAACTTGTGATCTCTCACATAGTGTGTTCTCAAACTTACCGCTTTGCAGGACAGCAATATCGTCTGCATAGGCTATTGTGTAGAAACCGTTGCTGTTGAGTTGGTCAACCAGGGTGTCTAGAACTATGTTCCATAGTAGTGGTGATAGCACCCCTCCCTGTGGACATCTCCTCGTAACCATGCCTCTAACAGAAACGTCTTCTACATTTATGCTTATTGCTCTACTAGAAAGCATACTAAATATCCATTTGCTTATGGCCAGGGGAACATTCCTAACGTTGAGCTGTTGGGTGATAGTTGGGAATGTGGTTTTATCAAACGCTCCCTCAATGTCTATGAATATACCTAGGGTGGATTCTTTATTATCCAACGATCTTTCAATTCTTCCCACTACATGATGCAGTGCAGAATCGGTGGATCTTCCCGAAGTATATGCATGTTGATTTGGGTGAAGTGGGTTATGAACCAGAACTTCATCCCTTATGTACCTCTCGCATAGCCTCTCCATCGTTTTCAACAGAAAGGATGTTAGGCTAATTGGTCGGAAAGCCTTTGGTAGGGTGTAGTCCATCCTACCTGGTTTTGGTATGAAGACCACACGTACCTCTCTCCACTTCTTAGGAATATATCTCAGAACCAAAGAGGCTCTGAATATTTCCACGAGGTGCGGCAGAAGGATATCCAGTCCCCACCGCAGTAGGGCTGGATATATGCCGTCAGGCCCTGGTGATTTGAAAGGGGTGAAGCACGATATAGCCCATTTTACCTTTTCCTCATTAATCATTGTTCTGGCGAGATGCCAGTCGTTTGTTGAGGGTATGATTGTTTCTTCCATCCGGTTTGGTGCTGTTGAGACACTAGAACCGGGAAAGTGTGTTTTCATCAGGACCTCAGCACTTTCGCGAAGGTTGGAAGTTTTGTTCCCATCTTCCTTCGTTAGTATGCCGACATGCCGATGTGGGTCCTTTGAGAGCGCTTTTTGTAACCTGGAAGCCTGCGGGAAATCTTCGATTTCCTCACAGAAGGTTCTCCAAGCAGCTCTTTGTCTTTGTCTGCAGACTTTTTTAAACTCTCTGAGATTTGATTGATAAGAATCCCAATCCTCTTTGAGTTTGGTGCGTTTCGCTCTATTAAAAGCTGTTCTTGCTATCTTTCTAAGGTGTTCCAATTCAGTGCACCACCAGGAGTTGGTTTTGCGACTTTCCTGGACCATCCTTATTGGACAGGATTTTTTATAAGCATAGCTTATTTTGTTTTGGATAGATAGCGTATACCTTTCCAATTCTATATTAGTTCCTGGAGTTGAAGCCTTTTCATTCCGCAGAGCATCTTCTAAGAGTCGGTTGTAGAGTTCTACATCCGTCCTCCTAGGGTCGCGTGATTTGACAAGGCTTTTTTCCAGACTAATATTATAGGTTAGCCAGCGGTGGTCAGACATAGAAATATTATCCGATACCTGCCAGTTCTGAATCTTATTCGATATTTCAGCTGTTGCCAGCGTGATATCTATGACTGTTTGGCTACGAACATTAATAAAGGTAGGTTCGGTGCCCTTATTTAAGATATACAAATCTTTTATAATAATATAGTCATAAAGGGACTTACCTCGAGCGTTGTTGTCTTTGCTGCCCCAGCCTAAGTGGTGAGAGTTCGAATCGCAGCCGATAATAAGTTCTACTTTCTGACTGAGACAATGGTCTACCAGATCTTCCATTTCCCTTGTTGGTGGTAGGGTGGCTGCATCTGAGGGTAGGTAGACTGATGCTAGTATCAACTCTCTATTTTTGCCCTTTCCCCATGGGCACTTCACTTTAACCGCAGTTACGTCTGAGGTGCAAAACTGCGCCATGGGGGAGGCTTTGATTTTTCTGGGAACATATATTGCTGTTCTCGGTTGTTGATTGCTTGGTAAGCTGATAATTTGACCGTTTAGGCTGCTAAGACCAGTTATTTTGGTCTTATTTATCCAAGGTTCTTGGATTAGTGCTATTGCATCCTCCATTTCATCCAGGCGGCGACATAGTGTCGCCGTTGCCACCTTTTTGTGTTGGAGGTTGCACTGAATAATGATAACCTTATTTTTTTCGACGTCCTTGCCCATGGCTTAGGTATCGTTTCGGTTCTTTTTTTTTTTTTTTTTTTTTTTTAGGTGTCCATTTCCTCCTCGGTTGAGGAGGGGTCATCTTCAGTTGTTTTGGAACCTCCTCCGCAGAGTTCGTCGACCATCATCTGATGATCGTCTCCCTGCTGTGAAACCAGGGGTGTCTCAGTCTCAGCAACCGTCGTCGGTTGCCGCGTGTCTGAGGTTCCTGGTTCCGAGGAGGTATCCTTCACTTTGTTTGTGCTTGCTTTTAGGTACAATGAGGTGAACGCGCAGCTCAGCCTCATTGCCCTTTTCCTAAGGACAGCCATATCATCGTCTCCGATTCCGAAGACAAACAGGTGTCCTTTAGGATCCTTTGTTTTTCGCCTCATGGTGGAAGGTGCACCATCTAGCCACTGCCATGTCTGGATTTTGCACCGCTAACCTCCGCAGCACTCTTTCTGGGTCATCAGAGGTGCTAATAGCATCCTCCGGGATCCATAGAGAGGCCTTGGTAAGTTTTGGGAGCTTATCCTGACTGACAACTGCCAGTGATGCTTCCTCCCACGGTTTGAGCTCAGCTGTAGCCTTTTCCAGCCATGCAAGCGCCTCATCGTCATCACAGACTACTCTGATGATCTCACCAGAGTGAGTCCACGATTTAAACGTGGGTGCTTTTACCTGGCTGCTGGAGGGTGACAAGAATTTTCTGTCCAATTCCTCGATTAGGCTGTCTCTAATAAGGTTTGCCCGGTCGGCGGTGACCTTTCCGTACGGGTTTTCCTTATCTATAATAGCAACCTTGAGATGTCTCAAGGTAGCTTCTGCGAAGCTTTGGGAAGGCGCAGCGGTGTTTCCACCACCGCGTGACTTCTTATGCTTCCTCGGCGTTCCCTCCGTGGAGGTACTTGGGTGAAGGCGCTTCACACCGGGGGCTGTTGGTTCCTGTCCTCTTTTGGAGGTGGAACCGTTGTCAGCCTCCGATGTGGGCATCTTCACTTTTGTCTTGGGAGGGGCTCGAGAGGGATGAGCTGCTCCCGTGGGTGCGTTTCCCATCGCCTCTCTGGCCTTCTTCCTTCTTTTTGCCTCGGCGCCGCAAATTCTGCGGCGTTTTGGCTGATTTTCCCGAGGTGGTCCTTGTCCATCCTTAGTTTGGGCCGAAGCTTGAGGTGAACATTGCTGTTCATCCTTAGCTCCGGCTTCAGACTGAGGTGAACGTTTTGGACCAGCCTCCGGTTGGGCCGAGACTAGAGGTGAACATTGCTGTCCATCCTTATCTGCGGCTTCAAGCTGAGGTGAACGTTTTGGTCCAACCTCGGAATTTGGTTTTGGTTTTTTTTGTTTTGAATTCATGTTGTTCCCACGAGTAGCTAGGGAAAGATTGGTCGCCCCTGGCAGAGCCCCGCATTACCAGGGGAAGGCTTAATACAGTGGGGTTTGCCTGGTTCCCCAGGGGGATCGTTCACGACCACATAAAACCCTGTGGTCATACAGCCATCGGCACGATTACCTCACACCTTAGCTTGGGTAGGCTGCTTCTTGGTCGCTGAAGCAGTTCTTCCACTCCTAGTCTCTTGAATACCTGGGAAGGATTCCCAGATACCCCAGAGGGCCATGTGGTGACAGGAACTGTTCCAGCGTGGTCGTTTCACACCTTTCTATACTTCCATTCACTAGGCCTAGCCCGTTTATAGGGGGTACCTTCATTCAACAGAGAGCTCCTTATTAGGGAGATTCCATTCATTCACACACACATACATGTTCCACTTCCTACGCCAGACTACAGCCCTACCTGAACAGTCAGCTTAAGCCTCCGAACCTACGTCAAGGTCGTGCAGCCCCTATCGGAGGATCAGGAACCCTTAAAAATACCTTAACGGATATAAGAAATCAGAATTTCACTATCAAGGGAGTATCGCGCACATACAATATTCCTGTGACAACATTACGGAATTACTTGAGTGGAAGAAAAGGCAGACAAGGCAGGCTACAAAGAGATCAGGACAAGGTCGATCTACCGACATTCCATTGGCAGAAGAAAGGCGATTGGCAGATGGTATTCGCACGATGAAGCAATGGGATTCAGTTTGTCCCGTAAAGCAGTCTTAGAATTAACCAAACAGTTCGTCCAATAAACAACTTATATGCTCAACTAACAATCAATAGTTGAGTTTACAAGAAGAAAGCCATGAATACTTTTGTTGTTAAAGATTATTTTAAGTTATTGAGTGAAACAATTCAATCTTTGGGACTTGCTGACAAACCTGAGAGAATCTAAAATATAGATGAAACAGGATTTTCGAGTGACCCCTCTAAAACAAAAGTTGTTAAGAAGCAAGGAGCACCATGCACAAAAACCACCGTGGACCAAGAAGGGAGAACACTAGAGTAGTGATGGCAGCAAGCGCCAGTGGCGAAAAAAATTTCTCCATTAATCGTTTTTAAAGGCAAAAATATCTGGGATAAATGGATGGCCGATGAACATGATGCCTTCAAACACGAGTATATTACAGGTACACGACACTAATCAAAAACATCTAAGAGAACGCTACATCAAGTATACGACTACATGAAGACACAAAAAATTCAGCTTAGGTCGAGGAGTTAGACAAGGAGACAATATTTCACCAAAATTGTTCACGGCAGCTCTCGATTCAATATTTAAGAACACTTAATGGCAAGATATTGGCATCAAGGTAGATGGAGAAAGATTAGATTATCTAAGGTTTGCAGATGATGTATTAGATAACTTACAGTATACAGTTTCTATGATACATTCGCTTAAAAGTTTGTCTGAAAGAGCAGGATTAAAGATAAACTTTGAGAAAACTAAACTTATGACAAATCTCGTAATGAGTGGAAATATAACTATTGACAATAATAACATACAACAAATTGATAAGTACTTACAAATATCTGGAACACGAGATTAAAATAAGCAGAGACAATTAAACATATAAAATACCGAGGCGAATAGGCCTGGCATAGGCAGTATTTGGCAAATTAAGCCATATTCTAAAAAGTTTAATTCCTAAGTATCTCAAGCGAAAGGTTTATAACCAATGTGTTTTGCCTGTACAAACTTATGGAGCAGAGTCCTTAACACTTAGGCAAAAATCTGCGAATAAATTCAGAGTTACTCAACGAGCCATGGAACGTGCAATGCCGAACGTGAGCCTTCGAGACCACATAACAAACCAACAAATCACGCAAAGATCAGGAGTTCAAGACGTCATTAAAAGAACCACGACGCTTAAGTGGAACTAGGCAGGGCACGATGGTGGACAAGACGTATTATGGAATGGAGGGCCAGAAACTATAAAAAAAGCCGAGGACGACCACCGACTAGATGGACCGATGATATAAAACGTGTAGCGGGAAACTGGCTACAAGCGGCCCAGTGTAGAGAACACTGGAAAGGACTGAGGGAACCCTATGTCCAGCAGTGGATGCGATTAGCTGATTGATTGATGAAATATATACATACCAATAGCTGAAATTAAATCTTCTTCGGTTGGATTCAGATGTTTGTAACCCGAGAGGGAAGTGATCGATTTTTTGACATTTTTGTTGCATTCCTGATCATTTGCACGATACGGATAATCCGCTTCAGAGCTAATACCGTTAGATTTAATATATTTGAAAGCTTTCACTTGGTCTCCGTCCTCACAACCAAGGTTTTCCGTTGAGCAGTCGATAAGATTTTGTGGACTCAAAGGAATTTTTTGTTTTTGGTGAATTGCTACTTGTCCTTCCAGAGATCCAACCTAGAAAATAAGGGTTTTTGATATTTTACTTACTGTTTATTGAATTATATGGATATATACTTAATTTAGTATTGAGAGAAAAAAAGAGTAATAAATATTAAACAAAGTAAATAATAAAAAAATTATTTAAAAATCCTTTATAAAGGGTATATAATTAAGACGCCTAATGGGGCTATATTACAAAACGTTTTCGGAATTTATATTCCATCATCAGTGTTTCTAGGTGTACATGTTTTGAGCCACTAAATTTTTGGGTAACAACCCAAACCCGTTATAGTTTATTTTTATGAACGAGAGAGTAATTAGCATAATTTTAACTGGTACCTTCGACCACTCCATGGGCGTGCTCAAGATTAATTGAAAAATTACTTTGAATAATTGTAAAAAATAAATGAATTATTTCAGTGTTATAAAGTGTTATGTGTATGTAAACAAAAGTGACCTCTTTTATCACACACTATATTAGAACTGACTGGCCTCCATTAAAAAGGGTTTTAAAAAATTCACATTTTTTAAAATTTTTTAAAATTACAAAAGAGAAAAAGAGTTTTTAAAACCGTCTAAGGTATGTTAAATAGATGAATAAAAATATTAATATAAAACTTACAGCTACTTGTTACAAATCCAAATCAGATTCAGAAGATGAACTTTCAGAACCAAGATTTATAATAACTGGCTCGATCATTTTATCAGTAATGTCCAGCTTCCACATTTTTTTCTCTTCTCTAATAGTGTGATTTACTGCCTTTTCCCAGTTTTCAGGTTTTACATTATTTACGGCCTCCAAAAACAACTGTTTAACATAATGAATTTTAAAAGTGGTATTTTTACTTGAAACTTCACTCTTTATCTGTGCCCATACCAGTTCAATCGGGTTTAATTCACAATGATATGGTGGGGATCTAAGTACTGTCATTCCACGATTTTTGGCAATTTCATCAATTTCGTGTTTTTTAAATTTTTCTTTATGAAGGGCACACAACGAATAAAGTTCCTTTCTTATAAATCCGGGATGGTACGTAATATTTTTTGAACTCAGCCAATTCTGCAAGTCTTTTTTTAACCACTTGGTTGTGGGCAGTCCTTCTATAAGTCTGGAGTGATAACTTGCATTATCCATTACTATTACACAGTTCTTAGGAAGATGATCTATCATTTGTTCGAACCATTCTTGAAAGACATCAGCGTTCATGTCTTCATGGTAGTCACCGATACGAGTTGATTCAAAAGTTAATAAACCACCTTCAACAAAACCGTCTGAACTGCCAATGTCTACTATTATCAGCCTGCGTCCCTTTCCTGATGGTGGGTTTAAACCAGTAGATAAGTTATTTACAAAAGCGTACCTTTGACTTGTAACAGTTTCATCCTGCCAAAATTTATTTGGTGTATGACCCTCGTTGATCCATGTTTCATCAAGATAAAATATTTTTCTTTTTTGGTTTCTCATTTCCTTTATGGTTCTTAGAAAATGTCTTCTCCATATGACAATATCGCTTCTTTCTAATAAAATAGACTTTCTGGGATTCTTTTTCCAGCGAAAGCCTATTTCTTTTAAAAGTTTCCATAACGTACTTCGACTCATTTCTGGGTAATCCTTATCATCTCGAACTGAGACAAGAACTTTATCCAATGTTGGAAATTCTTGTCTAAAGAAGAATTCATGCACTTTCCGTCGAAGTCCTTCTTTAAAATTATATTCTATTTGAAATTTTGGTTTCCCTGGAGCATTACGTGGCATTTGAAAACTACCACATTTCTCTTCTTTAATAACTCTGTAAATCGTAGATTTCCCAACACCAAGTGTACTGCTAACTAACTCAACGGTCTTATCAACACTTTCACATAAACGTTTGTCTGTAAATGATTTAAAACAATTAAATATTAATGTTTTTTCATTACCATTAACTGTTAAAGGACCAATTTTTCGGCGTTTACACGGCACTTCCAAATTTTCCATAACACTAGTATACACAATAAACTGCACCTTGCAACTAAAGTACCTACTTTTAGTGAACTGTTAAGAAATTTGAATACGCCACTTGGACCTTCCTACAAAATGGAAAAACCCACTATCACATTTTCTGTGGAATAAGTTTAGAAGGTAATTATCTAGTCAATTACTGTCGTAGATTCCTGGAATTAAAGAATTAAATGTTTGATTGTTGAAACCCTTACTTCGTGGAATGCACTCATTTCAGATAAAATAAAACGTTTTATTTTATCTAAAGAATTAAACTTTATTTTGCAAATAGGTAGGTACTTATTAAACTTTTATTGGTTATATATAACCAATAAAATAAACATCTTATATTTCTTGCAAATTCATTAGTACCTGTTAACCTCCATCACTCCGACACTGGCAACCTCTTATTTAGGGATTAGTAACCCTCACAACTATTGTATTCTATTCTGCTCCAACCTTTATACCTGGTGGTCATACTCAATTTAAAATTGTTTTCCTATATACTTCTGTAAACTTGTTGACATGTTGACAAATATCTCTTTTCCATTGAGTCACCCGTATCAACAGTTTAGGGATTTGCATACATAATTTATTGTTTTATTACTCTCTCATACATAAAAATACACAAATGTTATTAATTTAAATTTAGGTTCCATTATTGGATCTTGTATGTTGTGATGTTAAAATTGGAATTGATAACATGACAACGTAAGATTCTACAGGAGGTTGCTGGTCCTGAGACAAATTGTCTATGAGGACATATTGATAGCAACTGATAGCTATCATAATTATATACCTGTTATAAAGGATTTTTAAATTAATTTTTGTGATACATGGCATACAGCCAGCTACAGAAACTTAGTTTTCTTGTGAAAAGTAAATAATAGTATATTATAGTAAAACCTCTGTACGTAACCACTCCTGTAAAGTTAATACCTAAATATAACGACCAATTCTGAATTCCTGGTCATTAGAAGTGGAAATTCCAGTATTTTGTACATTTTTTATGTCGACCATTCTATAGTGTATTTTTATGTATGAGAGAGTAATAAAACAATAAATTATGTATACAAATCCCTAAACTGTTGATACGGGTGACGCATTGAAAAACAGATATTTGTCAACAAGTTTACAGAAGTATATAGGAAAACAATTTTAAATTGAGTATGACCACCAGGTATAAAGGTTGGAGCAGAGTAGAATACAATAGTTGTGAGGGTTACTAATCCCTAAATAAGGTTGCCAGTGTCGGAGTGATGGAGGTTAACAGGTACTAATGAATTTGCAAGAAATGTAAGATGTTTATTTTATTGGTTATATATAACCAATAAAAGTCTAATAAGTACCTACCTATTTGCAAAATAAAGTTTAATTCTTTAGATAAAATAAAACGTTTTATTTTATCTGAAATGAGACAATTCCACGAAGTAAGGGTTTCAACAATCAAACATTTAATTCTTTAATTCCAGGAATCTACGACAGTAATTGACTAGATAATTACCTTCTAAACTTATTCCACAGAAAATGTGATAGTGGGTTTTTCCATTTTGTAGGAAGGTCCAAGTGGCATATTCAAAATTCTTAACAGTTCACTAAAAGTAGGTACTTCAGTTGCAAGGTGCAGTTTATTGTGTATACTAGTGTTATGGAAAATTTGGAAGTGTCGTGTAAACGCCGAAAAATTGGTCCTTTAACAGTTAATGAAAAAACATTAATATTTAATTGTTTTAAATCATTTACAGACAAACGTTTATGTGAAAGTGTTGATGAGACCGTTGAGTTAGTTAGCAGGACACTTGGTATTGGGAAATCTACGATTTACAGAGTTATTAAAGAAGAGAAATGTGGTAGTTTTCAAATGCCACGTAATGCTCCAGGGAAACCAAAATTTCAAATAGAATATCATTTTAAAGAAGGACTTCGACGAAAAATGCATGAATTCTTCTTTAGACAAGAATTTCCAACATTGGATAAAGTTCTTGTCTCAGTTCAAGATGATAAGGATTACCCAGAAATGAGTCGAAGTACGTTATGGAAACTTTTAAAAGAAATAGGCTTCCGCTGGAAAAAGAATCCCAGAAAGTCTATTTTATTAGAAAGAAGCGATATTGTCATATGGAGAAGACATTTTCAAAGAACCATAAAGGAAATGAGAAACCAAAAAAGAAAAATATTTTATCTTGATGAAACATGGATCAACAAGGGTCATACACCAAATAAATTTTGGCAGGATGAAACTGTTACAAGTCAAAGGCACGCTTTTGTAAATAACTTATCTACTGGTTTAAACCCACCATCAGGAAAGGGACGCAGGCTGATACGAGTATACATTGGCAGTTCAGACGGTTTTGTTGAAGGTGGTTTATTAACTTTTGAATCAACTCGTACTGTGACTACCATGAAGACATGCACGTTGATGTCTTTCAAGAATGGTTCGAACAAATGATAGATATTCTTCCTAAGAACTGTGTAATAGTAATGGATAATGCAAGTTATCACTCCAGACTTATATAAGGACTGTCCACAACCAAGTGGTTAAAAAAAGACTTGCAGAATTGGCTGAGTTCAAAAAATATTACGTACCATCCCAGATCTATGAGAAAGGAACTTTATTCGTTGTGTGCCCTTCATAAAGAAAAATTTAAAAAACACGAAATTGATGAAATTGCCGAAAATCGTGGAATGACAGTACTTAGATCCCCACCATATCATTGTGAATTAAACCCGATTGAACTGGTATGGGCACAGATAAAGAGTGAAGTTTCAAGAAAAAATACCACTTTTAAAATTCATGATGTTAAACAGTTGTTTTTGGAGGCCGTAAATAATGTAAAACCTGAAAACTGGGAAAAGGAATAAATCACACTATTAAAGAAGAGGAAAAAATGTGGAAGCTGGACAATATTACTGATAAAATGATCGAGCCAGTTATTATAAATCTTGGTTCTGAAAGTTCATCTTCTGAATCTGATTTGGATTTGTAACAAGTAGCTGTAAGTTTTATATTAATATTTTTATTCATCTATTTAACATA